CATGAAAGTCACTCTTCTGTCTGTACTCAGAAGTATGACTGACAGCCTTTACCATAATTGTGATTTTCAGTTGCCATCTTCCCAAATCTGGAGATCACAAAGGTGACACTGATTCCCAACAAATAATATTTTGCAGATTGTTCTGCAAGTGTTTTCAGATTTGCCCATCTTTATAATTACTCATTCACATGAGACTGCAACATTTGCAAGGAGTAATTACTCCTACCAAAAAAACCCAACCAAACCAAAGCAAAGCAACAACAACAAAAACAATACAAACAAACAGGAAAAAAAAAGAAAACCAACCTAACAACAACAACAATGAAATCCCACAAGCAAGCAAACAAACAAAAAAAAAGCTAAAAAAACCACCCACTGTGAAGATCTTGAATTTATAAGGCTTTATTGATAGGTTAGTGACTTGTCTGTTTATATTAAAAGGTCCCCCATCAGCTTTGCTGTGCCTACCAGGATGCTCTTCCAGATGTTGTGTTTATCCTTAATAAAACAATAGATTTGATTTTCCAGTTCGCCACCTAGCTGCTCCACAAGAGAGGGGGTCAGTTTGACTCATAGAATTAGACCCTGAGCCCCATCTAAACCTGCTGGGAGTTTTCATTTTGTCAGTGTGGCATGATTTGAATAATTCCTCGTGTGTCAGGCTTTGAGACTTAAAGGGGACACAAAAATATGTGTCTATTACCAATTTATTTTCATGGAATCTGGCTTGCCTTTGGCTCAGTTTGGATTTGTTCCTTTCTTTCTTCTTGTTCTCTGTGGTCCTCACTGTCGGGATGATTTGCAGTTCCTTTATCCCATTCTGACCAGCATTTCCCCATCCTCTGCCAGACACCTGAATCCCCCATGCAATGAACTCAGCTATTCAGAGCTGGAGGTAAACGAGTACGGAAGCCCAAAAGAGACTAAATCACCTGTGAGCTGTGTGGTGGGCGATGGGGAGTACAACCCAAAGCCGTCCTCTGGGCAGGGGCAGGGCAGGGAGCTGCAGCCACGGCAGCTGCATTGGTCCCTGCTGGGAATGAGGCATCCGGCTCAGCCACGGGGGTGCGCCTGCCTCCCCCTCTCACTTCGCGCCTTGTTTAACGGCCTTGCACTGCGTGCACTATGTACCTTTTTATAGGTGTCTTCTTCCACAAAGAAATTAGGGCTTTGTCTTGCTCTTCCCGGTCCTGTCGGCATAAAACTGATGGCAAAACCTCGGAGGGAAGAGGTGCTCTGAATAAACATGGCTCTTGGACCTACTTGTTTCCCCTGGGAGGTGACGTGTGCACCTCCAGCAGGGACCAGGGAGGGGACAAGACCTCTGAAGGGAAATCAAGCATTTTGGTTAGCAGAGCTGGCAGTCCCCTGGGCTTGCTCTCTCAGTCCACTAAGAAAGCTGTCTGCTGGCTGAGAAGCCAGTCACCTAAGCCATGGCAAACATATTGGGAGGGAGCTGAGCTGGATGCCCATCCACTGGGCATCTGCACCCTCCCTGTTTTCCTCCTTCTAGGAAACTTAGCAAGTGGGAAACAGCAAGCAAGGGGAACTGGACTACTCTCCTTGTCCCTCTTTATCCATCTGTGGATAAAAAGAGGCTAACAGGAGGGAAGCTCTCATCCGCTGTAGCTACAGGTGGACATGAGAACCTCTGGGAGTGAGAGAGAAGTCACAGTGCCCTTTTCTCATACCCCCTCTAACACCAACCCTGTGGTAATGGGGTGAAACAGTCATGGAGAGGGAAGTAGGAGCAGTGGAAGTAGGAGCCATAGAACTGCCCAGGGCACTTTGTCTCCAGCTCCTCAGTAGCTGCCCTCACCTTTGAAAGTACCTTGAGTTTCTGCATATATCTCTCTGACCCCCAGGTGCAGATGAGAGCTGAATTGGAGAGGGATCACACCCCTACGAATATGCTAGAAAAGTTTCCCTTGGCAATGGTCCCCGTGGACAACCCTCCTTCCTTCTCCACTAAAGCTGTGAAACTCTCGGGACAGGGGGCTCATCCTGCTGGAGCAAACACACATCAACGAGGCAGCTCCAAGCCGGGGGAAGGAGCCATCTGGGAGACGTGTAGCTGAAAAGAGGGATAGAACCCCCCAAAGAAAAGTCTCACTGGAGATCACTCGGCATCACTGGATACGGATGCGGTTTCTTTTGGAAATCTCTTCTCTGAAAGTTGCTGTCTTTGCTTGCCCTCCCCGGGAGCGACTCCCGGTCCCTCCGCGGGAGGGGAAGATCAGCATGAGCAAATATTCGCTTCCTCACGCGCTTTCCTTTTTTCTGCCAGCGAAGTGCTGAGTGCTTTGTTCTGTGCTTTTACGAAGGATTTATCTCTACAGCTGTTTAGTGCACTGTAAATGACTCGGCTCCCCCGCCCTCCCTCCTCTTACATGAGCCGGGGGCGGGGGGAAAATGCATTTTAAATGTTTTAAGCTGAGAAGCGGCATTTTTTTTTTTTCCCCTCAGGAGGTGTGTCTAGCACGCAGTGCTCTAAAGAGAGGAGCCAGTAATAACAGATGTTCTGTCAAACTTAAAAGGTGCCGCTTACCACGGAGTCACCGGGTGCCATCAAGATGTATCTGCTGAGATTGATTAAGAGCCGAGCTCCGCGGGCTCAGGAAAGCAGCGCTGCTCACACGCGTGGGGGGAATCTCCGCTCTCCCCGGGCGGGCGCTGCAGGCACGGCACGGTGGAGGTGAGGGTCACACGGCAGGGTTTTCAGCACTGGGCTTTATTTCTGTGGGAGATCACAGGGGGGATGCTTGCGAGGAAGGGAGGTGCCCCCCGGCTCGGATGAGGTTTGCAGGGCCGGGGATGCCCCTCCAGCGGTCCGAGCTTTGCAGCCGTGAAGACCACACGGCGCTGAGCAGCGCGGCACTGGGGAGCCCCCTGCAGCTGGGTAGAGCCGTGCCGAGGCCCAGCCCCAGCCTGGAGCTACATCCCGCCTTGGCTCCAGCAGTGCTGCTGGACGTGGACCCTGACCCGACACCTCTGTCCTTCTTCTGCAGTGGAGGGAGAGAGAGAAGGAGGAAGGGGAGAACCCAAGTCTGCCGTATACTGCCAGGGTCACCTCGGGACAGGGCCGCCACGCCCTCCCTGCTCCCCACTGAGGGAAAGGCTGACTCGTGCTCGCAGCGACTGAACTCTAATTAAATCTCCAGAAGTCAACATGCTCAATCAAACGCTCGCGACCTCTCTAGGAGGGAAAAAGAAATAACAATAACAATAATAAGGGGAAGAGGAGGCGGGTGTTGTCACTTTTGAGGCCGCTGATCATCCTGATTAATGAATGCTAAAGTATGTTAAGTGCCAAGGTCTCAGAGACAGCCCGTGGGAGGTGCAGGGGGCGGCCGGGGTTGAGGTTGAGGCTCCGTCTGGCAAAGGAAGAGGCACCCAGACTACGGAGGTGGCTGTCCGCTGCCCTGGCATGGCTGCACCTGAGGCAGAGCACTCCTACGGGGCCGCACATTGCTCATGGCATGCTTCCAACCTCCCGATACCGCATATCATCTGAGTTGCCGGGATAGCTGTCTCCTAATTCTGCTGTGAAGTCCAGACAAAATATTCTGTGAGGGCTAGGGAACCAAGAGGCAGAAGTCAGGTTCCAGCTGCCTTGATGCTCCCGAAGAGCTACAGGTGATCCAGCCCTTAAAAGTGCTTTCAAGTAGAGAAACACAGCCTCGTGTAACACTGAAGCAGAAGTACACCCAAAATTCAGAGCTGCCCACCTCCAAATTAGCTGATAGTAAGGGACCTAAAAGATCACCTAGTTCCAATCCCCCCACCATGAGCAGGGACACCTTCCACTAGACCAGGTTGCTCAAAGCCCCATCCAGCCTAGCCTTGAACACTTTCAGGCAGTATCCTACTCTGAAGGCACATCACCTTCTTTGGGGTAAATCCACCCCTAAGATCCTTTCAGGAGCAACAGCTAAATGTATGTGAGTAGCATAGACAACTCTTGGCCTGGAGTAATCTCAGGCCAAGAAATACTTTCTGCAAAGTGAAGGCATTTTTGGAGTGGAGAGGAGGGAAGTGGCTGGGCTGTGGCTTCTTCAGCCCTTCAAGACAAGAGAGGGAAGCAGGAGGCAAAAGCCAGGGTCAGCTTCACAAAGCGCACCTCTCTCTTATTCACTTACCATTTCCCCCCTACTATTCTTTGGACAACAGATGAGAGGGGTTCCATTCTCCTGCTTCCCACTCCAACAGTCCCTATCCCAAGGGAAAAAATATCCCTTCAGACCACAGATCAATTCTGGTCCGGGAGAGAGGAGAACAAAACCAAAGGAAATATAAATATTTTCGTATCTACATTATGTCCATAAAACTGGCAAGTTGTCTTGGACAAAGTAAATACTTCTTAGCTTAGTGAATGTTAATTAAAGAGGAATGCTTTACACCTTATAAGAATTAACTCTTGTTCTCAAAATGTGTTTGTTTCCTCTAATTCGTTTGTCATTGTGCTAGGGAAGCATCTTTCCATTAATATTTCAGCATAATAATCAGTTGAAAAAATTGAACTGGATTTAGTGTAACAACATTTTTCCACAATGTGCGGAGACTCCGACGATTGCAATAATCTAGAAGCAAGACCTCTTTTTCTCCTCTCTTATATTGCTTTAGACTTACAGCTATCATAGAAATAGAAAAAAAATAGAAATAAAGAAGAGCATTGCAGGGAAAGATGGGAAGGAGGTAATTGAAAAAGCAAAAAGCGTTTCTGATGTGCGAAACGTGGATAAAGACTTCTGATGAGGAAGAGGGGAGTGCCTGATGAGGAAGAGGGGAGAGTGTGTTGAGAGATAACAAGAACCAGTAATTTCTATTCAGCAAAGCCACCAAATCAGAGAGCAGTGCTGATCTTATTGGAGGAGAGCCTTCAACAGCAACTAATCCTGTCATATTGAAAGAAAATTGTAAATGTTCTCTGCAGAAATTGCCTGCCCATTGCAGCTAATCGAGCCCACTTCGCGCTCACACACGCCACACACCCCCTCACACCGCCACACACTCGCTCACACCCCCACAGGCGGGCAGCAAGCAGACCCGCAGCCGCAGCACCCCAGCAAGGACATTCGCCCGAGATGCTCACCTAGGCATCCCACTTCCCTCGCTCCCCACCACCTCAACGAAGGTGGCAGCTTGCCCCCATTTCCTCAGGAGCTCTGGGGGAAGTATGAATTATTACCAGCTCACTTGAGAGTCCTGGCTTCACCTGTTTTTAATTATTTCAGTTTTGTCCAAACCTTTAAGCCAGGTTTGATAGCACTAGTGCACTTTTTTTTTTTTTTCCCCTAAGGCTCAGCTTGGCTGAACTGAAGCAGAGACTCCCAAGGGTCGGAGCCATCGAGGGTGTGCGTGTCTATGTGTGTGCCTGTGGGTGTGGGAGGCAGAGAGGGAGCGAGAGAGAGACAAAAACTCCATCAACCCGGACAATGCCACCTCTTGTTTAAAGCTTCCAAACTGTTATTCTTTCCCCCCATTATCACGGTACCAAGTAATCTGTCTTTCCCCCACTCCAACCCCCCTCCCTCCTCTTGGAAGATATGGAAGAGGAAGATAAAGCGGCTGGCTGCGGGCGCTGACGCCGCGCAGCCCGCATGCCTCTGCCGCCACAGCCGGGGCTGCGGAGCGAGCCGCTTGCAGCGGGATGGGATGCAACTTCTGCTAATTGGATCACAGGTAGGAAAGCTTTGGGTTTTACTGACGTTTCCTCTTTCTGTGTGTCTCTCGCGCGCTTTCCCCCCCCCCCCCCTTTTCCCTTCCATCTATTTTTTTTCGTCTTTTGTTTTTTTCTTTCCTTTTATTTCACGTCTTCTACCCTCCGCCCCTTCCTCGCCGCACATAAAATTTCATCCGCTGCTGTCATAGGAAAGCTCCCGCCAAGGAAATAATGTCTAAGAAACAAGCTTTTGCTTCCTGGTAGAAGAAGCAGAACAGACCATAGGGAAACTTTTGCTGAGTGGGTCCACAGCTGTGCGGGTCACTGGGGAAAGGCAGAGAGAGCAGAGAAAGCAAAGCGATTGCCCCCAGCACGGAGCCCTTCTCTGTCGTGTTACAGTTGCGATATTAATCCCAGAACCGAGTCTAACATGGTAGAGAAATCTTGACATTTTTCAAGCGCTGTCCACAGGGTTTTTTTTTTATTATAAATGCTACATTCCGACACAGAGACATCTCCTGGACTACCCTTACCAAATTCCGCTGTGACATGTTTGTTGACGACTCCTGCAAAATGTCACCGGGAGCGGAGACGTCCCCGGGGAGCGGAGCCCGCCCGTGGAGTGCGCTGGCTGCAGGGTGAGCAGGCAGGGACGGGGTGGGTGGTATCCCTGCCCCGCAGGGGACCAGGAGGGGTGCGGGGTATAAGGAGAGGAGGTTGCTGCTCTGTCGGTGCGGTCCGTCACCCCCCCAGAATCCCTTCTCTGCCCGGGATCAGCGCCTGTTTCCTTTGCCTCAGGTCTCATGTCCTGCCGCGGGGGGGGAGAGCGCTGGCTGGAGGCGCCGCCAGAGGTGGGAAGGGAATGGGGTTTCCCCGGCTCATTTCCGGCCCCGCTTCCCCGGGTCCTTCCCCCTGGGGTCCGGTCCACGGACCAAGAAGTAGGCTGCTGTTGGAGAGGATGCTCCAGGGCCGGGTGCGACTCGCCCCTCTGCCCCGGTCCTGTTGAGACCCCGGCAGGGCTGTGTCTGTCCCGGCTGTGCCTCCGGGCTCTCTTCCCTTTCGCCCGTGCCGCCGCCACGGGGTGTTTGTGGCCTGAAGGAGCGAGCTGATACTTTGAGAGGGAGCTCAGATCAAGTCGTGGGAGAAAAATTGCTTCCCAGAAACAGCTCTGGCACACCGAGGTCTTGGTGCAGCCCCAGAGTACGGCTGCATCGGGGGTTCTGAAGGAGTAAAGTGCTTTCTGCTTCTTGTCGGGCAAAAGTCTATCCTGGCCATCCCTCCAGCTAGAGCCACTCTTCACTTCGAGCCTTCCCGACACTCCGTGCCCCGTGCCATGCTCGGCGGGTTCCCCGCACCAGCCCGAGCACCAGGGTGATGAGGGAGCAGGCAGACTGGGAGCTGCAGGGCTGGCTTTGCTCCTTTGATCGTCTCCCCGCGAGGCAGCCGGGCCGGAGGGCTCTGATCAGAGGCGCTCCAGGAGGATGGCTGTGCCCGCTGCCAACTCCGAGGGGAGGTTGTTAGGGCTGGTGACTCATTCCCACTGGTCTGTGGGTGAGTCCTTACCCCTTCTCTGGGTAAAGGACGAGGGATGCTTTCTCCCACCCTTGTAAGATCGTTTTTTCGTACTATTTACATTTGCTAAATTTCCTTTTAGGGCAAGGAGAGACAGCTTTTTTCCAAATGGCAAAGGACACTGGGAAAGGGGTAATTCTTGTTACAGATCTAGCCCGAATAACATCTGTCCCCATTTTTATGTGTCAACCAGTGTGTTTGCACACACCGGCTTGTCCTTGTCCCTTAAGGAAGATCTTCTCTTTGCAGAAGGGAAAGAGGTAAAAAAAAGGGGTCTAACTTCTGCTTGACAGCCTGCCTTTTGCAGATTTTGGGGGGAAATACCAAATCTTCAAACAAACAAAAAGACCAACAATAAGGAAGGTTAATGCAGGAGATCACAAGTATGCATGCTGTCTACTTTTATGGTATTGCATCACTTGCAATCACAGCCCCTGTCTAAATACACACCAGCCTTGATTGTATGGTTTATGACACCAGCCGCTCTCGGTGACTCATCTGTAAACCTCTTTAAGCTACACACAGTATACTCCCTCTCTCCTTTAGGATCTTTGTGAGTGTAAGTTTGGTTGAACTTCTTCCCTGCAGGATCCCTGGACTGCAAAACCAGCCCTGTTTGCCTTTTTATCAGGACAGTGAGAAGTGCAGAGGGCTCACTGACTTGATGAGCATGTGCCCCACTGAGCTGCCCTCTCTACCCCTGCCCACAGCAGGCTGTGATTTCTGCATTGCAGTGTGCTCGAGAATGAGACCCAGTATATGGGGAGGGGGAGGTCTAGGACATCCTCGAGTTGCTTCGGATGTAGAGCAAAATTATAAAAAGGAGAGGTCATGCTTTTCTCCCATCCAAGCCCAAGATTTTAAGGAGTATTCTCTACCCAAAAGGTTTTAACTCTGCATTTGGGCAGAGCCCAGGGAGATCTGGACCATGTGTGATCGAGAATGTCCTCAGGAGGTGGAAGGAACAGCGATCTAGCCATGCTGTTATTGCCCAGGATGGAGACCAAGACACAGAAAGGGGGAAACGGAAGCCATCAATTAAAAAAAGCGTTTATGAACAGAACTATTTTTTTCCTGAGTGTTCAGCACAGTGTCCAACTGTCATTGTGGTTGTCACCTCTGGGCTGACTGCCTGCATGTGTTTCACGGTTCTCAGCTACTCAAAATGCTCGGCTCTTTAAGCCCATTGGGTGTCTCATTCAATAGTCTTTTGAAGACATCTACTATGAAATCCCCCACTGCTGTTAATAAAGTCCCAGGAGGTTACTCTGCTCCGCTTCACTCCTATAACCCACTCACCCATTCACCCAGACTTTCTCTTCTCCACTAATATTATGACCTACATGCAAAAGACTTATTTTCTGGTCCTGTTTCCATAGCAATGCAGCATGGGGAACGCCGACAAGCCAGTAATAACGAAGCAGATTCTCCTTCTGTGAAATCAAGACCTCTCTGAAAGTTGAGTTCAACGTAAGGGGAAAGTAGGGATCCGCGGAGAGCTGGATTTCCAGCCCGAAGTCCAGATCTCCGCGCCCTCTAGTGCCAGAGGCAGGCGCGGAAGAGCATCCCCGGGCACGGGGAACGTCTTCATAGCAAATTACAGGAGAGGGAGAAAAGCAAGTGGTATGAGATAAGACCATTCCTCCCATTGTCTGTTTCCAGCCAGATCTTCCCTCTTCTAAATCCCAAGCTGGGAAAAATAAATAAATAAATAAATAAATAAATAAATAAATAAATAAATAAATAAATAAATAAATAAATAAATAAATAAATAAGTAAGTGGTGGGTGGGTTTCACCTGATCTTGGTTTGGTCACCCAGAGATCAGAGTTGGGGTGGGTTAAACTATAGAGGAATGAGTAGGGAGAAATTAGAGCTGGAAAGCCAAGACTATATTTGGCCATTTATTCAGAAATTTTGGATCTCTCTGGCTTTGAGCTTCACAGCTTGAAGCAACTTTCAGCTAATTCTGAGAGATTCGAAGGCATAGGAGAGGATTACTCACTTGTGAAACTGCTGTCCTGACCTTCCACAGACTCTTTAGGTGGGTGGATGGGCTAGACAACAGTAATCAGGCTAAGGAAAGCTGATGGAGCTTAGATCCAGCTCATATGAATGACAGGAATAACTTTTTCACAAACGCTTGTAGCCTTAAATCTTAAAAAAGCTTAAATTGTATGTTGGTATTTAATATATGGTAGCATTAATTTGTACGGCAGCTTTTAAAGCCCTGTTAAACACATCTTAGAGATTCTCATCTCTAAGATCCAGGCTGCACAAAGAACCAAGCACTGAGAACTCCTGTAGCTAAAAGAGACAATCGGCACACTCCCCACACACTACCCTACCCACCTTTTCCAGTTGCTATCTTTTGGCAAAGATAGCTTTCAGTTTTGCCAGGGTCTTCACAGTTTTTCCCAGGTCAGAGCTACCCAAAAGATACCATTACCTACTCTCTTGTCCATATCCCACCAGCTGACTGCACACCACTTTTGTCCAGCAGATTGCACTCCCTAGTTCTCTTTATGAAATTGAGTAGGGATCTCTTGATGACTTATCCCGCTGCCTTCCTGCATTTCCCTGATTGCAGTGGGCAGAATTAAAAGTCAAGACCACCTCTGAAGTTGCATTAAAGGGTTGTCTCCTTTTCCCATGGACCTTGAGCTTGTTCCTATGTAAAAAATGCTTTAGGCTCTGGAGCTGCATGTTGTTTTGGACTGTCTGTCCTACCTTTAAAGCTATATTGTTACCTATATCTAACACCACCTATTCCCCATAGAGGGGCATATGTATCAACAGGTGTTCCAAAGAGACATCTCTTGTATAACATAATTTTAAGGCCCAAGAAGATAGGACAGGGTGAAGTGAGTTTCATCTCATTTCCATCAAGCACTTCCTAAAGAATGTTTGCCAGTGAGACTAAGATATTCAATAGGATTTCAGTAGTCCATGTGCTTAATGGATTCGTTTTTAGGAATATGATAAGGATAAAATGAAACAGACCCTCATTTAGGTCCAGCTGCTTTGCTCAGTCTTCTGCATGTTTTCTTTTTGATGAGATGATTCTCTGATTCCCATCGTTCCTGTATCTCTTTTGACTCCACGGGCTAGATTCTGATCTTAATTACCTTCTTTCAAATCAGGGGTGCCTCCACTGATTTTAATTGCGTCTGGTTTATTCTAGTGCAATTGAGCTCAGAATTTGACTTTCACAGAAACATAGTAAGTGTTGTAATTAGAATATGCCAGTGTTTTGACAACTGTTCATGGAACAGCTCTGTTTCATCAGACTCTGTTGAAAAGGAAATATAATGTGATAATGGGCACTGGGAAGAGTACGGGCACCTCTCACAGTGATGGCAATAAAGATCTCTGAGAGTGGCCACAACACAAATAGGGAAGAAATTCTATAAATCAGCATTTCTCAGGGTTTCCTCAAGCTCTTAGAA